ATATTAACCTAGATAACTACTCTACGTAACCAAAGTACCTAATTATTGGGTCCTTTGGACCTAAACCCTAAACCCTAAACCCTAAACCCAAAACCCTAAACCCTAAACCTAATTATTGGGTCCTTTGGACCCTTAGGGCTACATCTGAACCCAGCTGTCTGATCTGGCATAAAACACTTGGGTTTAGCGTTGAGGGACTGGCCGCTAAACCCTAAACCCTAAATCCTCAACCCTAACCCTAACCCCTATGGTAGGTTGTATACGTGCGCCTGGAAAGCCCTTACTTAGAGCTCGGACCCCAACCTAAACCCCTAAGTGCGAAGAAAGACAGAACCAGGAGCTCTGAATGAATGTAGGGGCCCTATAATTGGAGTAGGGACTTGGGGCATGCCATGCTATAACTATAATAAAGAGCCCACCAAAAAAACAAAACAATAGTATAGGTAGTTATTAGAACCCCTATGTTAAGCCAAGCGTCGTAGATGCTGATGCACTTGGCCACAGAGTGCTTCACCTTCTGGCAGCCCATCTCTTCCAGAACCTCGGTTTAGGGTTTAGGGTTTAGGGTCTAGGGTCCAGGGTTTAGGGTTTAGGGCTTAGGGTTTAGGGTCTAGGGTTTTGGGTTTAGGGTTCAAAAGGATAAGGTTGAAACACTCTGGCCTGCCTGTGTGCATTTTCAAACCGTGGGCCAACGGATGATTCCGTGAAATCATAGTTTTACGGATGCCTTGAGGCTTTAGGGTTTGGGGATTCAGGGGTCACGAAAGACTAGAAACGAGCCACAGTACCGGAGCTTGGCGTGCACGGCGATACGCCGCAATGAATCTCCGCAAGCGGCACATATCGTCATGCATAACTAAACCCTAAACCCTAAACCCCAAACCCTAAACCATGAACCCTAAACCCTAAATCCGTAAGGCCCAAACGTCTTGGCCGTAAACCCCGACACAGTAGACTCCTTAAGCTGTGACTCCACGACAACATGATCACAGCCTACGTACATCCTTTCCCGGAGGGTTTAGGATTTAGGGTTTAGGGGTTTAGGGTTATAGGGTTTGGTCCTATGTACGGTAGTAGGGGATACTTCCCTAAATCGTAACAGTACTTCCAAGTATAGAACGCCTACAAGTCTACTATGTAGGTAAATAGGATCCTCAGGGTTTTGGCTTCCCATTATGGGGCTGACCACCTCAGGACTGTCGCCCTGATGTCGGCTGCTACTGGCTCCCTAAACCCTAAGCCCCTAAACCCTAAACCCTAAACCCTAAAACCCTTAAACCCTAAAACCTAAAACCCT